CTATTTATCTTTTACCACAGTTCGCAATGTCTGTTGTGTTCGTTCAGCTGTACACCCTGTTATCTCAGTTAATATTTTGAGTCAATTTTTACTCTCATCCAGAACTCAAAGGGATTGAAAAAATGGTAGTTATGATACTTCTGACAGAAGCAGGAGGAGCACTGAGAGGAAGAGATGATGTGGAAACCAAATGTAAAAGACATTGCGAACTGTGGTAAAAGATAAATAGAAATTCAAAATATGTTTGATTAAGGTGTGAAAGGGGGAAAATGAGCCCTCTCTGCTGAGTACATGATAAACAAGACACAAACAAAACAAAAATTGGAGGGCAGATATCACATCATCAGGTTGTGAAGTTGTGTAATTCAACATCGAGTCCTTGACCTGGGAAATGTGTAAGCAGAAAATGCGATGTTTTTCCTTGAGTCTGCATTGTGCATCATTGAAACATTGCAGCAGGTGCACGACCAAAATATTAGCACGATAGCAATATGGTTTATTGAAATAGGAGAGAACTGGAAGGAGAGGGTCATTCCTTCAGACAGAGCAGAGGTGTTCCACAAAGTGCACACTCAGTCTGCATTTGGTCTTGTCAAAGCAAAAGGGCAATGAGTACAGTAGACTAGATTGAAAGAAGCACAATAAAATTCTGCTTCACCTGGAAGGTATGTTTGGCATCTCAGACAGTGTGAAGGGAGGCAGTGAATGGGCAGGTGTTACAATGCTCACCTCACCTCAGGAATTCACTCTTTTGATCATGTGGATGTAAGCTATAATTAGGTCCAATATCAAGTGATCGTGGCAGAACTCAAACTTAGCAATGGTGAGCAGGTTATTTGTCAGCAAATGCCACTTAATAACCCTGCTGGTGACAACTTCCATCACTTTATTGGTCATTGAAAGTAGGCTAACAGGTTAGCAATTGGTTGGATTGATTTTATAGTTTAGACATATCTGAGCAATTTTCTTCATCATCAGGTAAATGCAATGTAGCTGCAATGGAACAGTTCAGATAGACACTGGGATTTTAGCAGCGCTCATAGCCTTTGCCATATTCAGTGTGATCAGCCATTTCTTAATATCATGTGGAGAGAAATGAATTGAGATCTGTGAAGCTGGGGACATCAAGGGGAGTCCCAAATGCATTATCCTCTTGGCATCTCTGGATGAAGATGGTCGCAAACGCTTAATTCTTGTCAATAGCATGTGTGTGTTGGGTTCCTCTATCAATGAAGAGGGGATGTCATGCTGCTTCCTCCTCCTGAATGTGACAGAATTGCCTTTTAGCTGATGCACTCATGTCAGATTACAATTGCACACTGCTTCTGCTATTTAGCAGCCACGTGGTCCTGTGCTGTGGCTTCTTCAGATTATTGAGTTCTAGTTGAACCAGGTTTGGTTCCCTGGCTCAATGATAATAATGGTGAGAGATGGGCTGGAATATTTTGATTCACAGATTACAGCTGAATATAATTTTTCTGCTGCTGATGGTTCTCAGCACCTCATGAATGCTGAGTCATGAGCTGCTCAGTCTGTTCTGAATCCATCTCAATTAGCAATGTCACACACATGATGGAAGATGTCCACAGAACAGTGTATCCACAAGGTTGGTGCTTTGGTCATTTTTATCAATACTGTCACAGGTAGACGCATCACGAAACTAGACAGACTGAGGGAGGTCAAGAACAAGTAGGTTTCTTTCTTGTGTTGATTTTCTTAGCAACTGCCACAGGCCCAGTCTGACAGATATGTCCTTCAAGACTTGGTCAACTTGTTTACTAGTAGTTTCCTGAGGATCTTTGGCTGATGGATTGAATTTGCACCCCCCCCCCCCACCCTTCCTGGATTACACTTTGTTCCTTCACTATCCTCAGTGTTTTTTCCAAATGGTGTTTAACATAGATAACGGCCAGTAGTTGACAGCGATCAGCAGGAGGTTTGCTTGGTCCATTTTTGAACTAATGCTAGGAAATGTCATGGGGTCCAAAGTTAATGCAAAGCTTCCTAGGACTATATCTGCCTTCTTTTATATTTTTGCACCATTACTGCTGGTGGCCTGGTCCTACTGGTGAGACAGGATATACCCAGGATGATGATGGTAGTCACTGGGACGTTGGGTTAGAATAATTATGCCAATCTTTTACTTCTCAAGTCTGTGGGGCTTGTCCCCTAATTTGGTACAATTCCAAAATGCGTACAACGTTTCAAATTGGTACAAAATTAGTTCAATGTTAGCGAGCAGAATTTTGACTGGTTTAGCGGTGCCTAGATCAAAGTTTGGTGGTCTGTTAGTTTTATTCTTCCTATAATTTTGAAGCAGTTTGATACAGTTAAGCGGCTTGTTGTATCATTACAGGGGCAGTTAAAAGAAATCAGATTGCTGTGGGTCTGGAGTCACATACAGGCAGAACTTAAAGAGATTAGTGAAGCAAATAGGTTTTTAATGACAATCTGATAACGTTGTGTTCACCATTATTGATACAAACTTTTTATCCCAGATTTACATTTTGACCTTAATTTGAACTCCCTAACTGTCATTGTGGGATTTTAATTCATGTTTCTGGATTATTAGCCCAGTCCATTGGACAACAATACAGAAACATGACCATTTTGCTAACATTTCCAACATTATACAAATTACTGTTGTCATATTTTCTTGGTGCCTGGCTTCCTCTGGCTAATTTGCATTAAGTTGTGTTTGAATTTTCTGCTACCTCTGTTTATCTCTGTTAACGTTGTTAGTAAATTCAGTACATATTTTCCTCAGATACAGAGTTATACAAACCTGCAATGCAAATCTTGAGATGGAGGTTACGCATTTGCTGACAGTGAGAACCGTAGTAGAAAAGTTGTGAATGCAACTATTGGGGAGGCTACACATTTTCTCTAAACTGCTTGATTCTTAAAACCAACAGCCACGGGATTAAATATAAATTAATAGTTTCCCTTACCAGATCATCCTGCCAATGTGGCTCAGGAGGCTGTGTATGATGATGGTCACCAAAGGAATCCTGAACCATACAAAGAAAAACAGATCTTCTTATTACATTTACAGATTTCCCGTTTGTTCTACTGTTTCAAAATATCCTTAAAAACAAATACATCACAGTTGCTAAATGACTGTCGCTGTGCATCAACAGTCACTGCAAAATTATTTTTGGAAATCGGGAGTTTAGGCCAGTGGACCCTATAATCCAAAAAGTCTAAGATTCAATTTCTGATCAATGCTATGTTGACAGATTCTAGGTAGCTACTTTGGCATTGCACAGATTCTATCACATGGAGACAAATTGTTCAGCCCGATTCATCCATGTTCATATTATACTCCACAAGGACTCTGTTCTACAGTTATATTATTCTTAAAGAAAGAGTTATATTATCCATTCAAAGAGGAATTAATTGGCCTGTGAATGTACACCCAAGGAGTTAAATAATGAGGTGGTGATCAATAATGCACCACTGCACCAGCCACATGAGGTGCTGTAAAAAGTACACTCTGTAAAGCTCGAGCCTTTTAGAACAAAGAACAAAGAAAATTACAGCGCAGGAACAGGCCCTTCAGCCCTCCAAGCCTGCGCTGATCCAGATCCTCTATCTAAACCTGTTGCCTATTTTCCAAGGATCTGTATCCCTCTGCTCCCTGCCCATTCATGTATCTGTCTAGAAACATCTTAAATGCCGCTATCGTGCCCGCTTCTACCACCTCCACTGGCAACGCATTCCAAGTACCCACCACCCTCTGCGTAAAGAACTTTCCACGCATACCTCCCTTAAACTTTTCCCCTCTCACCTTGAAATCGTGACCCCTAGTAATTGAGTCGCCCACTCTGGGAAAAGCTTCTTGCTATCCACCCTGTCTGTATCTCTCATGATTTTGTAGACCTCAATCAGGTCCCCCCTCAACCTCTGTCTTTCTAATGTAAATAATCCCAATCTACTCAACCTCTCTTCATAGCTAGCGCCCTCCATTCAAGGCAACATCCTGGTGAACCTCCTCTGCACCCTCTCCAAAGCATCCACATCCTTTTGGTAACGTAGCGACCAGAACTGTACGCAGTATTCCAAATGTGGTCGAACCAAAATCCTATACAACTGTAACATGACCTGCCAAATCTTGTACTCAATACCCTGTCCGATGAATGAAAGCATGCCATATGCCTTCTTGACCACTCTATCAACCTGCGTTGCCACCTCAGGGTACAATAGACCTGAACACCCAGATCTCTCTGTGCATCAATTTTCCCCAGGTCTTTTCCATTTACCATATAGTAATTTACCATTTTGCATCTAAAAGTATGATTATTTTGAACTGCGGGGAGCTAAAGGATACAGCTTCTAAGTAAGATGCTAAATTAGATTGAGAAAAATTAACTCAAATTAGTACCAGAGAAAGAGACAAGTTGAGTGAATCATTTGAAAATGAATCAGCCCTTGTCACAGTGATGAATGCATAACTGTAGCTGACAAAATTGTAATGGTATTTGGGAAGTTTGAACAGCAATGCAAACTGACATTCAATAGGTTTCGAAAAGGCATTAGTCAAGTGGAAAGGGTCAGCTACACTCTGTTTTTGGCAGGAGAGATGACAAAAGCAAAAACCTAGGCAAATTGAGAAAAATATTCAGCAACAACTCCAATCAACCAATTCACTGGATTCACCAACAAGTTCCAAAGCCTGAGACGTACACCTGGTGAGCATGTCAACAACTTCTTAACAAAATTTTAAAAATGCAGCTAGAAAATGTCAGTACAGATGAAAGGCCAATAGATTGGCACACTTGGGGCTTTGCAACATGGAAATACAAACGGAGGTGATTTGGAAAGGACAAGCTCACACTATCTTAAGCTGTAGGCACTAACAGAGCCACGGGTAGACAGAAGTATACGACAACTATCCAAATGGCTAGCGTTGAATTAATTCCTGAGACAGTTAGCAGGGTTGAAACAATGAAACAGCAACAAAAGAACACCAGCCAGACAGAAAGAACTGGATAGCTAATGAAAGACTAATCATTGAGGAAAGATGTGCAGAACAAAGAAAGAAGATGGTAAATAAGTTACCAGAGACAGAAGAACAGGGCAAATGAGAAGGAAGAGAAACCAAGACAAACCATACCCTGGAAAATAACAATGAGCCATGCAGCAGCATGAAATGTCTGAATGTGACAGTTCCCAGAGAAAAGAAATTCACACAAACATTTACATCAGGAAAAGAGTGCAAAATAAGCCTAGAACAATAAATCTGTAGCTAAAGATAGCAAGAACTGCAGATGCTGGAGCCAGAGATAACACAGTGTAGAGCTGGAGGAATACAGCAGGCCAGGCAGCATCAAAGGAGTAGGAAAGTGGACCTGAAATGTCAACTTTCCTGCTCCTCTGATGCTGCCTGACCTGCTGTGTTCCTCCAGCTCTATACTGTGTTAAATCTAAAGCTAAAGCTTGATTTTGGAGAACAGGGTAACATTAACCCACAATCTGAAGCAAGGAAGATCTGGTAAATGTGTTCAGAGCGTTTTGTTGAGATGGTTGGATGCTTTGAGGATTTTTACTGTCACATCACTATTGACTTAAGTAAAAAAACAACAAACTGATTACAATATTTAAGAAGCTGTGAAATTACAAAGCAAGTCGAGATATCATGTTCGAGGCAGATATGATCTATAATGAACTCAAATTCATGTTCTTGGCGGCCAAAAGGTAATTCTGTGCTTGCGCGAGCGCTGAATAAATCTCTTGCTGACCAGCAGCAGTAGAAGGAAATAGCCAAGACTTGACAACAAGGACAACAACTGGAAAATAACAAGAAAGCTGAAAGTACAGAGGAACAGCTGAATGCCACTAAGGCACAGAATAGAGAAGTTATATCACAAGATGCAGAGAACGGTTACTCCTTAAAATGAGCAGAGAACAAGCCTGGAGATAAGAAATGGAATAAATTGGATATTGTAGAACACGCCAACTCATCACCGAGGATAACAAAAGTCAAATTGACAAGATGGAAGCACAACAGACTATCTCAATGTTATAATGAATAATGTTTTGAGAGAAAATATACAAGCTATAAACAGTGTAAAACATTTCATTTAATGAGAAAAGTTGATTGTTAATGTTCTTAGATAAATATACACTGTAGATATGCAAAAAATGGCAATGGATGTAACAGTAACTTTGATTATAGAGGCATTCTTTTAAAGTAAGAGGTTGTTATATTATTGCACTTTTCATAAAGAAATAACAATATTATAGAACAACAGAAATCAATGACTTTGTATAATTGTATAAATGCAGTAGGAGTATACTTAAGAGGGAAATCAGGAGGGCAAAAAGGAGACATAAGATAGTTTTGGCAAATAGAGTTAAGGAGAATCCAAAGGGATTCTACAATTAAATGAAGAACAAAACGGTAATGAGGGTGAGAATTAGGCCTCTTAAAGATCAGCAAGGCCACCTATGTGTGCAACTGCAAGAGATGGGAAGATACTAAACAAGTATTGTGCATCCGTATTTATTGTGGAGAAGGATATGGAAGCTAGAGATTGTGGGGAATTAAATTGCAACATCTTGAAAAATGTTCATATAACAGAGGAGGTGGTGCTGGATGGCTTAAAATGCATAAAAGTGGATAAATCCCTAGGATCTGATCAGGTGTATTCTGGAACTCTGTGGGAAGCGAGGGAAATGATTGCTGGGCCCCTTGCTGAGATATTTGTATCAATGATAGCCACAGGTAAAGTGCCAGAAGACTGGAGGTTGGCTAATTTGGTGGCACTATTTAAGAAAGGTGATAAGGAAAAGCCAGGGAACTATAAACCGGTGAACCTGACATTGGTGGTGGGCAAATTGTTGGAGGGAATCCTGAGTGACAGGATTTACATGTATTTGGAAAGGCAAGGACTGATTAGGGATATTCAACATGGCTTTGTGTGTGGGAAATCATGTCTCACTAACTTGATTGAGTTTTTTGAAAAAGTGACAAAGAGCATGGATGAAGGCAGAGCAGTGGACATGATCTATATGGACTTCAGTAAGGCACTTGACAAGGTTCCTCTTGGTAGACTGGTTAGCAAAGTTAGACCACTTCGAATAGAGTGAGAACCAGCTATTTGGATACAGAACTGGCTCAAAGGTAGAAGGCAGAGGGTGGTGGTGGAGGGTTGCTTTTCAGCCTGGAGGCATGTGACCAGTGGTGTGCCACAAGGGTCGGTGCTGGATCCACTGCTTTTTGTCATTTATATAAATGATTTGGATGTGAACATAGGAGGTATGGTTAGTAAGTTTGCCAATGACACCAAAATTGGAGGGGTAGTGAAGGTAACCTCTGAGTACAATGGGATCTTGATCAGATGGGCCAATGGGCCGAGGAATGGCAGATGGAGTTTAATTTAGGTAACTGTTAGATGCATTTTGGAAAGGCAATCAGGACAGGACTTATACAGTTAATGATAAGGTCCTGGGGAGTGTTGCTGAATAAAGAGACCTTGGAATGCAGGTTCACAGTTCCTTGAAAATGGAATTGCAGGTAGACAGGATAGTGAAGAAGCTTGCCTTTATTGGTCAGTGCATCGAGTATAGAGTTGGGAGGTCACGTTGCAGCTGTACAGGACATTAGTGAGACCACTATTGGAATACAGTGTGCAAATCTGGTCTCCCTGCTATAGGAAGGATGTTGTGAAGCCTGAAAGAGTTCAGAAAAGATTTACAAGGATGTTGCCAGGGTTGGAGAGTTTGAGCTATAGGGAGAGGCTGAATAGGCTGGGGCTATATTTCCCTGGAGCACCGGAGGGTGATCGGTGTCCTTACAGAAGTTTATAAAACCATGAGGGTCATGGATAGGGTAAACAGACAATGTCTTTTCCCCAGGATGGGGGAGTCCAAAACTAGAGGGTTTAAGGTGAAAGTGGAAAGATTTAAAAGGGACCTAAGGGGCTACTTTTTCACTTGGAGGGTGGTGCATGTATGGAATGAGCTACCAGAGAAAGTGGTGGAGGCTGTTTCAATTACAACATTTAAAAGGCATCTGGATGGGTATATGAATAGAACGGGTTTAGAGGGATATGAGCCAACCTCTGGCAAATGAAACCAGATTTATTTAGAATATCTGGTCAGCATGGACGAGTTGGACCGAAGGGTCTGTTTCCGTGCTGTATATCTCTGTGACTCTATGACTCTAAATAGACATCTGAGGTGCCAGTTAGTGTTGCACTGCAGTCAGGCACCATGCAGTAAATGTATCAGTGCAGCTGCACAAGGCGGGCAGCAAGAAGCACGCTCAACGAAGCTCCAGCATTTTAAGTCCAAAAGTGATTACTTCTAACAACTGGGAAACAGAAGGCATAACATCCTTCCCACTCTAAATTCCCCATTTCTCTTTATTCACTTCCCATCATGCCTGCATGCAGGTTTTACAGATTATTAAGGAGAAGTAAAAATTACAGTCTCAGGTTCTGCTCACAATTCAACAATCCCTTTTGGAAACGTGTGTAGCTGAATACTGCATAATATTGGGTTCAAACTCTGCTGCAAGTCCTATAAAACCTAATATAATTCCCTACAACATCGTAGCAAGTTATAACAGGAACCACTGCCAAGGGAACTGGGTTGAGAAGGTTATTGCAATCCAGTGCTCTAGCTGTGATCACTGGGAGACATGTCTGTAGTAAAGCCAGCAGCAAGAAAGCAATAAATTCTTGCCAATGTAATTGATTGAACAATGACTGTACAATGTCCATAACCAAAACTGATGGAGCAATTTCTTTTTGTACTGAACAGCATACAAATATTTGGGAAGCAAAAACACCTAACACCATATATACACACACAATACTCACACAATATATATTTATTCTTCTGTCCCATCCGACAGCGAGCACATATCTGCAAAGGAGTTCAAGAGTTGTGGTTGAGAAATGCACTGCAGTTTGAAAGCGTAATTCCAAAGCAAAATTGTTCACCAATTCAAAAAAAAATTGTGTGTGTCTTGGTCAATTTAGAAGAAGCTCTCAGTCTGTCTTTGGTTGAAAAAACTTTGGTTATGCCATTAAAAATATAATGTGCAATTTGGAGACTGTCATTAAAGACATGAAATAAAACCATATAGAACATATGGAATCACAGAAATGTACAGCACCAGAGGAAGCCATTCTGCTTTTCTTTATAAAAGCATGCATCTAGTCCCATATGTCTGTTCTTTTGTCCATTATCTCAAATTCCCCATCTTCAAGTATCTGTTCAGCTTCCTTTACAATTATTTATGTAATCGGCTTCCCATTTCCTCTTATGATGTGGAGATGTTGGTGTTGGACTGGGGTGGACAAGGTCAGAAATCACATAACGCCAGGTTATAGTCCAACAGGTTTATTTGAAAACTTGAGCTTTCGGAGTCTTCCTCCTTCTTCAGACTAACACCTGAAGAATGAGTAAGACTCTGAAAGCTTGTATTTTCAAATAAACCTGTTGGACTATAACCTGGTGCCATGTGATTTCTGATCATATCTTTTTAGATAAAGCTCAACAATTCTCTAATAAAAAGACGTTCTCGTCCTCCTTATTTGACATTTTGCCAATTATCTTGAATCAATAGGTTTTAGTTATCCATCTACTTGCCAAGGCAAACAGTTTTTATTTATGTCTTAATCAAATCCTAGCCTGGGAAGCTCTACTGGACCACCTTTTAACCTTCTTTGCTCCAAAGTGAAGATGCCAAGATCTCAGTGTTCATCTGCATTTTTTAGGATGGTACCATTTATAATATATTGGGAGGACTAATATGGAAAGGCAAAGAGCATCAGCTGACATTTCTCTGCATTGAATTCAGTCTACAATATATCTGCCTATTTCACCATTCAGTCTATGTTATTCTAAAGTCTATAACTTTACTACTTCACCATGAATTATATTTTCTGCAAATGTCATAATGCTGCTCCCTACACCAGAATACAGGTTGTTTATAACATTTACAATGTAGAGCAGCTCTTGGGGTGGAGGTGGTGGCACTGGCTTTCTCAGCAACCATGTTCCAGTATACTGTCACAAGCATCTTCTATAGCCTCCTGTTCTCCATATCCTAGATTTGATTTTTCAAATCCAACGTGGGAATCAGGAGGTGGGACTAATCCTGCTGTCACAGTCCTGGGATTTTCCATCCCAGCCATGGCTTTAATTGATGTTGAGAAACAGGCAACAGGTCAAGACAAGTTCAAATATGAGTTGATTCCCAAACAGCCTGGTTAAAAAGTCCATCTTCAATCCAAAACAACAATGCGTGGTTCTTCCAATGGAATCAGTGGTGAAGGATGAGCTGCACCAGGAAGTCTATAGGAATGTAAACATTCTGATCAATTTAAGCCAATCCCCTCCTTCAAGTTATCCATTATCCACTGTATGAACAGATCTCACGAGCCCTATTGTCACAGCTGGAAACCACTGAAAAACCTATAACTCTCCTAAACAAACAGGCTCTTCAATGCAGCTGTACAAGGGGAGTCAAGCATTTGTAAAATGATTAGGCCGCTAGATTGCAGAAGACAGCCCACAATTCTACCCAGGTAAAAATCTGCCCTCAAAACTATGATTTCAACAGATGTCTAGATTAAATACATAGACACAAACGGGAAACACTTAAACAATTAGACATTGTTATCATACTGGACTACATTTTCAATATTTTAAATGTACTGTACCATTTTATTCATTTCAATTTCTCTTCTAGCTCATCTAAGGCTATCCATATTTACAATGTTGACCTTTAAGTTGATATCTTGCCAGTTGGCTCATATAACAATACGACAAGCACATTGTCTAAGAGGTACTTACTTCATCCAAACAGTCATAATTCACTTAATGAACACAGTTCATGCTACAGCATTTCATGATATAAGGGAGACAAAAGTATTTTATTCACCTTTCAAACTCATCTTGCCTTTAATCTCTGATTTATGCCTCTTTGCAGCTAGTATAAAATGAAACAACTGCTAAACTCTCTGCCTCCCTAAAAATTAAAACTCTTACCAGATATGAGCCCTCAACACCATTAAGTGCTTCTTTAACAATGGCAGACCTGTTCAGGGCTTTTTCTACACCCTGACCATTGTGAAAATGGCTGAAGGTGGAAACAAAGGCAATAATTCCAACTAGGCTGCCAATTTTTTCCAATCTTGCCTTTGATTCATGCTATTCTTGGCCTGTCCTGAGATTAAATTATCTCATTCCTTCTGGTGCAGCTACTTCCTGTGGTATTGTTGTTTTTTCAAGTTGCTCTTCACTAGAGGAACATACCTGTACAGCCCTTTAATCACCTGCAGCAATTGAAATACAAAAACAGTACTCAACTTCCTCCCTGCTGCAATAAACCACTAAGCTTATAGAAATCTTCCCTGAATAATTCATAAGGGCCGGTCAAAGATGTTTTGAGTGCATTAGCAGTAACGTCACACTGGAAGCAAAGCCTTTCTGCAAAACCAGCAATGGAAAATATTCTATCCCAGGACATAAAATGGTCTCTGCCCCTTCTCTTCAGTGAAGTTTTAAAATGAAACAGAAGGATATCGACAGGAACATTTACAGCAAAGAGTGATGCATCATCAAAGATGGTTTGGAGGATATTTTGTCAAATGCTTCATACTCACTTATTTTTATGCATCTCCACATAGATGCAGTCACAGATTTCATCACATCTGCCCTCTGTAAGGACAATTTTGAGTTTGTTACATTTTGTTCAAAATGGACATTTTTGTAATATTTAAACACATTTTTTGCAAGTGATTTGTGAACCCTTGGAGATACTGTTGCTGCAGATAAAAGTTATTTTGTGATGTGAGACAGGTTGTTTCCAATTGTTGTCATAAACCAGATTATCTAATCATTGAAAAGGTACTTCTGGCTTTATTCTGACATATGCTTTGTCAGTGTATGCAATACCACTACAGAAGAATGCAGTTCTAATTTCTTTATCCCAAATGATTTCTTTCTTGACTGTCCATCTAAACAGTCAGTTATAAAAATCATGTAAGTATCTGTGTGTAGAAAGTACATAAATATGGACACACCATTCAAGGCCACAAGATCGTCTTGTAGCTTAATGGGTGGATTTCTGGTTATTTGGCTTGGTCACATCCCCTGCTCTCCACTTCCACAACACTGTTGTTGAAGAGTAGGGCCCCTTAATCAGCCACTTGCTCCAAAAAGAACAGACTGTTTTAGACAAAGCAGAGTTGGACTTAAAACGAAGCAGGTGCTAATGAAGGGAGAAGAAAATAAAACTCTTCTTAGAGAAAAGAATACAGGCAGCACCAAAATGAAACATTATAGGAGTCGAAGTCTAGCTGTGAGTTAGAAAGGAGATTAAATCCAAATTCCCAAAGAGAAAATTCCTTGGAAGGAGATGAAACCTCTGTGGGCGATGAATCTTGGCTCTCATAGCTATTTGCTTGGAAGACTCTCAATTAATTGGAAGCGAGCTTACATTTTTTGACTACATTGTTGCTGTGTACATAACCTGTTCTGTTACATGCTGTTATTTTTTATTGCTGAACTGAGACATCTGAAGTGAATTTTTTTTCTGTGGAGATAAGCAACTATTGTAAGTTAAGAGATATTAAGAGTAATCTATTTATTAGTATGGTAAAACGTGTTGGATCCTAAGCCACAAATCCTTGGACGCTATTCTGATTGCAGTTATTTGAGGGTCAATTGAGTTATACGTTCTCAAGTTTTAATCCTATTTATTGTGATAGCCCTTGATGAGCCAGTGCCTCCATTGTCACATGGGTATGATTCTAGTGGAGGGCTATTGAAGGCCTGCTTCTTCACATTTTAGCAGTGTAGAGTAGTTCATGTAATATCCTACAGGATGTTATCATCATCTTTAAAAGTATCTATATTGTCCATGGTATGAAATCTAAATGCTTAAAAAGAGACCTTTCATCCTTTCTTGACATAATTTACCTTTCTTTAATATTCTTAAACAGTGACCATTATTATGATTCCAGATCTTCAAACATCCATCTCTTCCTCCTGTAATAAGTCTACATTATAAAAAAAATCATGAGCTTCTATATTGCTAGACCAGTCAACAAGGAATTGATATGTAAAAAGTAGCAAATCCTTACCTCCTTCCACTGTCATCAAACGTCATGCAGCAAATAGCAGAATCACCATGAGCTCCACTAAATTCAAATATAAGCTTTCCTGTATCAAGGTCCCAGACTTTGACCACCTTGATGAAAGCACAAATAATTTTGTTTCATTTTGTTACTCCTGGCATTAACTGATTTCTCCAAAATATAAATTCACGCTTAACTTTTCAAATTTGTTATATATTAACAGACCTTGTGTGGCGTTGCTCACAATACTATGTCTAACTTCACTTTGCTGTGAACAGCCACAGCCACCCATATGTGCACCTGAGGGGAACGGTGATTATGTGAAATCTGTTTGTTACATATTTCTAATTGCTCGATGGTCAAGCACTCGCAAAACTAGTAGGATAATAGAATAAGATCAACATTTTATTATGTAGGGCACAACACTAGAGTCACTGATTTACAATGAATCACCTCCGTCACTTTCTGAGGTTATCTTACTGCTTTGGGGATTGAAAATCACAACTCTATCTGTTTTTCATGGATTCCTGTGTTTCCACTATTCTACATATGGGTGGCACAGTGGTTCAGTGGTTAGCACTGCTGCCTCACAGTGCCAGGAAATTGAGTTTGATTCCATCCTTAAGCGACTGTCTGTGTGGAGTTTGCACATTCTCCCCATGTCTGCATTGGTTTCCCTCGGGTGCTCTGGTTTCTCCCCACAATTTAAACTTGTGCAATTTGGGTGGATTGGCCATGTTAAATTGCCCATAGTTTGTAGGTTAGGTGGATTAGCCATGAGAAATGCAGGATTACAATGATGGGGTGGGTCTGGGTGAGATGCTCTTTGGATGTTGGAATAGATTTGATGGGCTAAACAGCTTGCTTCCACACAGTAGGGATGCTATATTTATAATATAAAACGTTCCTTTGACCATTATATTCCTTATCATTTATGATTTGGAGAATGTAAAATAGGGTGTGACATTTGAAAATCTCCAGTCCTGAAGATTTTTAAAAGGCCATGGTCAATTTCTCTCAGCAATCTAGAATCTGTCTCATCCAGTCTCAGTAACTTATCAACTTGAAATACCATCAGTCTTTCTAATCCCTCTTCTTTATCATTTATTATCTCAACTACTAATCCTTTCATCATGATATGCAATATATTTTGAGGCTGGATCATTATGTATTTTCAAGGCTAAGGCAGACAGATTTTTTAATCAGTAAGGAGTCAAGGGTATGGAGAAAAGTTAAGATTATCAGATCAGTTATGATCCCCTGATTGAATGGCAGAGCAGACTCTGGGTTGAATTGCCTACTTCTGCTCCTACGTTCTTTCGTATGTCATGTGTAGGTCCCCTTGTTGTTCCGTAATTGCTCCCATCCCTCTCTCGTCATTCTTGTACTACTTACATGGCTGTAGAAGACTTTTGAATTTGCGTTATATCAGTTGCTCCTCTTTTCCTTTAAAAAAACTCACATTCACAAAAGCCCATTCAAAACTTTGAGACTCCCTCAAGTGTACAATTCCATATTAAAAGGAACAAACAGGTTTGTAATTACAAGCCTACAAAGACAGATAATCAATTAATAACGTATTGATGCATCAATTAAACTGTGATCCCCATTGCTGTGATAGCAGCATACCACAGGAGCAATCCAGCAGTGGTAATGTCATAATGATAGCCTTAGGATTGTGTCAGCAAATGTCTATTAAGTCAGTCTGTCTTTCTCCTGAATTGGATATACCAAGCCAGGAAACTCAACTCCCTCTATTTGCCTTTAAGGCAAAAATCAAGCCCAACATTTCAGGTTAATGAGATAGTAGGAACTGCAGATGCTGGAGAATCTGAGATAACAACGTGTAGAGCTGGATGAACACAGCAGGCCAAGCAGCATCAGAGGAGCAGGAAGTCTGACGTTTCGGGCCT